CCCCCCCCCCCCCCCCATATGCTACAGTTGCACAAATATCCTTAAATGCTAAATTTACTTAAAATATGCATTGATGAACGAAACCATAAAATATTTAAATTCTAAGAGGATAATGGAAGTTTCTGCTGTGAACGTGACTACTAAATATAGGCTATACGTGCTTCAAAGTAGCTAACACTACTGTTTACATGTGGTAATATGAAAGATAATAAGAAATGCAATAACTCTTCATTGTTATGTGCAGGAAAAAAAACACTAACTTCTGCGGAGAGTAATGTTCGCTCTGCGCTGTTGTAACTGATCAGCTGTCAGTTCGGTGGTGCTAGTAAACACGTCCTCTCTGCGCAGTCGAGTCGGTCGCGCAGCTCGGTCCATTGAGCTGCGCCCATGACAGGTTAGCGCGGCGCGAACACTTCAATACCGCGCTGTTTCGTACCATATTTGGGTTGTTTGGCTTCCCATATCTTGTGTGTGTGTGTGCGCGCGCTTTCCACGTGTGCGGCAGAACTGAAGAGACGCTGCGGCTTGTGCGCGCGCTTCAGGTGCGAGTCAGACAGCAAGATGAGACGGCAAAGAGTCGTTTTCTGCAACTTATTGCACTTGACTCCTTTTTAACGTCAAGCAATTCTCTGCTATATGCGTGGAACTAAAACTTTGACCTTTTGCAATGTTTTGATTTAAGTAGCCTATTATTAAAATGATTCCGATATCGCACGCCCTTGCAATATGCATATTGCGATATATACATTTGCGATGTTCCGATCATTTCGATATAGCGTGCAGCCCTAATAGTTATCTTTTATAGTTATTGTTCCTTGGTGTGAACGGTCCTTAAGAGTTGAGCACCACATCAGTCAATTTACTTAAGAGATTGTTCACAAAATGAAAATTGTCAGTTCAAATAGTCTACTGAAATGTACTCACTCTCAGGTTGTTGGAAACATGTATGAATTTCTTTCTTCTATTAAACAAAGTCAAAGAGCCAAGCCAGCAAAACTTTTATCCAACCGTCATATATATATATATATATATATATGCGCGCGCATGCAGCACAACTGTTTCCAACATTGATAATAAAACGCCATATTAGAATGATTTCTGAAGGATCATGTGACACTGAAGACTGTAGTAATAGCTGATAAATTCAGCCACCACAGGAATTTATATTTTAAAATGTGTTAAAATAGAAAACCATTATTTTAAATTGTAATATTACACACTATTGCGTTTTTTTTTTTACCGTATTTGTGATCAAATAAATGCAGCCTTAATGAGTATAAGAAACTTCTTAATCTTAAAGTATTCAGTGGTTATTCATTCTGAAAATGTATGTGCAATAATTAGCAATAGGACACCTGAGCTAGATGAGCTCCACACGAAGATCAAGAGGTCTTGTGGTAATTCAGACTCATTACTCTTTGATCAGATCACAGGCACTACATCTTCATGCATGTTGCTGACATGGTGATTTTTAATGCAACTGTGTTTTGAGATGATTTCTGCTGTGAAAACCATTTGCTGATTGAATATTCACTGATTGGCCTTCCATCTCCCTGCCCAATTCTCTAATCTTATTAGAAATCCATAGGGTTCCCACTGTCAGGGGAAAAAATAAAATATATAAAATCCTGAATCTGTAAAGTCTTTTCCATGAAGACAAAATCTATAATAATTCATTCTTTCAGAAGGATGTTTTAAATGTGTAATCAACAATGGACTAAACTTCTCATTGACCCCTGTCACTAAAGAGGCTTTGGGGTTGCTGTGTCTTAGCGCCCAGACACGTACTCTGAGGCAGTAGGGACAATGATTTTCATTCCAGAATGCAGCTGCTCTCTTTATGTGTGGTATTAATGCCCACTGTATGTGTCGAATCTAGAATATCCACTGCCTTGTGGCCAAGGCCAACAACTGTTGCAGTCACGTTTCTATGCTTGAGTGATGCATAGTTCCCTAGTTAACACTGTTACAGTGAATTTTGTTTCTATGGATATAGAAAAAGTTAAATATGAGGTAATCTCTTTCACTCTCTCTGTCTCGCACTCGCTGACTCGATCTTTCGTTTATTTTTCAGTTTGATGAGGTTCGCAGTACATTCGATGGAGAGATCAGCAAAGAAAAGCTACTGACCTTTATCAAATCCAACCAACTTCCCTTGGTCATTGAGTTTACAGAGCAGGTACACTTTATCCACACTTGTGTCTCTTGTTGTATATACTGACATTACAAATGTGTGTTTGACCTGTTGCATACAGACCCAGTTGGCCTATTTATATTTTCATTGAAAAATTGATTGCATTTTTGCCATATTGTGGAGGGAACAATAGATTGAGATTCTTATTTCTCGTCTACAGACTGCTCCAAAAATCTTTGGAGGTGACATCAAGTCCCACATCCTAATGTTTGTGCCCAAAACAGCCAAAGACTTCCAGGATAAGATGGACCAATTTAAGAAGGCAGCTGAGGGCTTCAAAGGCAAAGTGGGTTTTATTTTATTTTTTCTATTAAACTGTGTCAGTGTATGTTTTGTTGAATACATTGGAGTTTAACCTAATACTCTTTCTCCACAGATTCTCTTCATCTTTATTGACAGTGATGTGGATGATAATCAGCGAATTCTGGAGTTCTTTGGTCTTAAGAAGGAAGAGTGCCCAGCAATCCGCCTCATTACCCTAGAGGAAGAGATGACCAAATACAAACCAGAAACCTCAGAAATCACAGCAGAGAACATCATCACCTTCTGCACAGCCTTCACAGAGGGAAAACTTAAGGTGACTGAAGTTTGTTTGGGTTAAGGTTTAAATAATGTCTGACGTAAATGAGGAAATTAGTTTTTATGGTAGATGTAGTAGTTACTTAAAAATTGGCACTTAAATGAAAACGTGTTCTGTCTTTTTGGAATGATTGTTGTGTGTGTCTATGTGCGTGTTATGAATGATTGTAATGTATTTCAGCCTCATTTGATGAGTCAGGACATTCCTGATGACTGGGATAAGAACCCTGTCATGGTCCTGGTGGGCAAAAACTTTGAAGAGGTTGCGTTCGACCCCGCCAAGAATGTCTTTATAGAGTTTTGTACGTATTTTTTCTCTATATAAAAATGTCTTTGCTTGGATGCAAGTTCTGTAGTCTTGAATGTTGCTTGTCATTCCATGTCTGAGCACTTGGTTTGAGTGATCACTTGCATGGCATATTGCCTGATTTATTTTGAAAGTGGGATCTTTTGATTGCCTATCCTAATAGCCTGGCATTGTAAACACAAGGTTCCTGTATCTGTTCAAAAGCATACAGCTAATCCTGGCACGGGCACCCACAGGATACTTACTTGGAGAGCTCTCCTTCCTATATACTCTTAAACTTGCTATAATAGGAAAGGGTGAAAAATGCTGAGATCATTTTGGCTCTAGAGATCTTTAAAGCAAACTGCTTCCCAAACTATAATTTCTATGAGGAAAGGGACTTTTTATTTTTTTATTTTTATTTTTTTATTTTTTATTTTTTTTTTTACATGGCTATGACTGACTTTCTAATAAATGACGTAGGCCTTGAAGGGTAGAAGGGGGTTATATTTCATGTCATCGAGGGCATTAGAATGGTTATGAAAATGGTTGTTGTGAAATGAGTTTTGGATTTCCAAAATGTTTTGACAATGGGTAGATTGCATCATACATACAAGCTGTCAGTAACCAGTGCCAGACTGACTCTGAAAACCCATCTGCTTTTCCCCCCACATTTTAGTCCCATTGTCTGCCCTGTATTTCTTAGCACCCTGAAACCATTATAGGTCCTGCATATCCCTGTTCCTGTACTCTTTACAAGTCCATTAGCCAACTTGATATAATTTCATGTGTCATAACATTATCACTAGTATCAATAAGTACATGTACCTTTGCAGTTATAATCAAGCTCCAGTGGGGTTTTGCATAGTCAAGCTATGTCTTTTTTGTTTGTTTTTTTTTGTAGGATTATATCCATGTTGCACATCACTTCTGTCTTGCGGAGCAAGTGCAACAGCTGCTAGAACGATTGTAGTCAAATTAAAGTGATGGTTCACAGTTCTGTCATTTACTCGAACATGATTTTCTTCTGTGGAACACAAATGAATATATTTGTAACCCATATGCAAATCCAGTGGTTTTATCCAATTAAATAGTTTATTTACTGTCTAATTTTTGTCGGTTTATCATACTAAGTGATCATAATGCTTCAGAAGACTTGAATTAAATCACTGGAGGTGTATAGATTAAAAGGGTAAACTGCTGTTGTCTGACTGAAATCAAACTTTTAAAGTGTGTAAATTCGCCTTTTAAGAACCAATTATTTTGTATTCAGTTTGCTTTTTCTTGATCCAGATGCCCCATGGTGTGGTCACTGTAAACAGCTGGCCCCCATCTGGGATCAGTTGGGTGAGAAATTCAAAGACGATGCAAACATTGTTGTGGCCAAGATGGACTCCACAGCCAATGAGATTGAAGCTGTCAAAGTGCATAGCTTCCCCACGCTCAAGTTCTTCCCTGCTGGTGATGACCATAAGGTAAGGCCTCCAGACATTTTGCTTCTGTTTTAGGTGTATTTTTAGCATAATGTAATGTGAATTATTTAAAAAATAAATAAATATTGACCGTTTGCAAAGAGCTTGATTGACAGGCGATCTGACCAATCAGAACGCGATATTATGTGTCGCCGCTGATATCCGCCATCTTGCCCGACATCTACGGCCGGTCACCATAGAAATCCATGTTAAAACGGGGTAAAAAGATAGACTGAATTGAAACTTTCCGTAACTAAATATAAATATGTGCGGAGGGTTAAGCTGTGCTGTTGTTGGCTGCCACAGTAATGGTAATAAGCTAAGGAATTCCTTTAAAGTACTTTTTGCGTACCAAAAATCTGTCATGTCCGGCACTGTATGCATGGCTTGCAACGCTTAAGTTAAAACACTGAGTGTGAAATAATAAAATGATATGTTAAAACTCTTATCATTCTTTGGACAAAATCCCATGAAGTTCGCCCCGATCGGGAGCTATGTATGCACATGTGCGCTCATCTGTTTTCAATGCAGCTAACCTCACGTCGCTTCATGTCATCTTCCCACTCATGAAACTATGACAGGTCCTTTACTGCAAAAATATGGTCACTGCGACACTGTAAAGTGATGAAACTATGGCGCTATGAGCTTTTTAAAAAACGTTTTCATAGGTTTGACGTTATATCGTCAGCTCGGAAAATATGTAAATGCACATGCCCAGTAGCCGAACTGAGGCAATACAGTGATCGGTCACGACACATTGAAGAGCCACAAACGGTACTATTTATTGTTTGAATTTCTTTTAACGATGACGAACGGTCATTTGCAATGGTCAGATCATAGATATGGTACACATATCAGGGATCAACACTAAGGATTTTTTTCTACTGGCCCAGTCGGGCTAGTGGTGAAAATTTTTACTTGCCCTGCCAACATTTTCACTGGCCCTGCCTCAAAAAATAAAATAGTTGCTGTTATCATTGTTTTTGATCTGTTATCTTGCATTCTAATAAATAAGCTTATGACACCAATATTTTAGATGCCAATTAAATTGTGTAATTCTCCATTTCAATTTCGATACCACAGCAAAAATCACTAGCCAAAAATAAACATATAAAGTTTAAACATTAAAGACAAGTGACAGCCAGTAAATAAGAACAAATTAACAAATTACAAGTAATGGCACAATTAAATATAGGCCTATAGCACAAAAATATAAATGAAATGATTTTTTATGTTTGTATATGTTCAGGTACAGAAATTGAAAAATCACATATAAAATAACATTTGCATATTCTTCACTCTGTTGCACCTTGATTTTTCATAGCCATTTGAAATTAGAGGCAACCACTGCATTTTAATCATGAATTGAAAAAAAAAGTGCAATGTTTGATATATATTAGACTGTATAATTTCAAAATCTAAAGCAAAAACAGGATAACCTGACTTTAGCTTTGTGAAATTATGCTACATAAAACATCTGTACGAAACCGCAGGTGGGCTGAATGAGACGCAGATTCAATCTCTGACAGCAGACAGCGCTTATGGTACAGTGATGCAGTGTTTCCTTGGTTACTGCTGTAAACACCGCAACGCTGTGCGTATTAACCATTAACACCAATTTAAATGCATCATACGGAGACCAAATTAGAAGAAAACACCATTTCTGAAAACAGTCGGTTCCGTTCCCCTCAGAAATACATTCATATAAAATTCAATATTTGGATTTTCTTTCTATATTTTGCGCATCGTGAACAGTCATCTTGTTCTGGCTACTACAGTATTTTCTCCTCTTTGTGTCCGTCTTCAGCATCTCTGGCCTCTGTTAATGCCCGTTTACAGACCAAGTATAATAATAACGTAATATTTCCACACAAATGGCCATTGGGAAAATGACTGCAGTGCAGTTTGTGTGCAAGCACGGAACAGAAGATAGTCTGAAATAAAACAAAAAATGTCCGGTACATCAGAGCATCTGTAACATACTCAGTGTATAAATTCAATATAGATTAATCATTGTTAAAGCTACAAAGTTACTTACCAGGGCGGGTATTTTGACATACTTTTGTATGTATTTGCCCATTCAGGTGGCTCACGCGGCTGTCTGTGAGTACTGAATGTAGTTGTCTTTCGTGCCCAAATGCTTTTTAATCGCTTACATTTTTTAATTAACATGTCTTAAAAACACATGCAAATGATAAGTCGTGACGACGCTGCAGTGGCCCGATCGGGCAAGTGACAAATCAGTCTACTGTCCCGGACGTCTTTCACGCTGGCCCCGGGCCATCGGGCAGTCCTTATTGTCGAGCCCTGCATATGGTCTATGTATATTCCTATATTCACTACTTTGTGATTAAGTGTCAATGCAAAAAACCTATGGAGTTTTTTTCAATATCAACTCTTAAAGTTTTTGATACTAAAGATTAATCGGATGTTAAGTTCAAATGAAGTCCCCACATGGCATTTTGTTACTTAAGGTTTCAGTTATATACATCAAAATTTACCATGTACTGCCATGTATAATGTTTGCTGTATATTCATGTATTGGTGCGTATAAACAAAAGGTTTAATATCATTATTTGTCACTAAAATAAATACTGGAAAACGTGTAATTTTAACTGAATGTATTAGGCTGAATAGGCATTTTAAACCAATTAATTAGAATGGCAGAAAGTGAGTAATTGGGTGAGTTTTTACCTACATCAGTCAGCCCAAATATTCTCTTTTTGTATAACAAGTATACAAAAGATGTTAATGCACAAAAGATGTTAAATAAAAACCTGTTTATTCTGGATTGATATTAGTCTCAACTCTTCTATATGGGAGAAAGCAACAGAGGATGCCTCTTTCTCCCCGTTGTTCGAATTCTTTTTAGTGGTTGTTGTTTTAGCCAGTATCATAGATGAGAGCATAAATGTACACAATTTGAATTAGAAACATTCCGAAAGTTCCTGAGCCAGGAATAACTTCATAAATAAGTATCAATGAAGCTTAGTAAATATCAATTATGTGCATTTTTGGCAGAGGTGTTTTTATAATACTTAAGTTCATCCATCAGTACAGTTGGTTCATCGCCTGAAATTAGTAGATATATTACTATTTACACATGTCAGGAAGCTAATGTCTACCATTCTTCTTTATACAGTGGGGAAAAAAAGTATTTAGTCAGCCACCAATTGTGCAAGTTCTCCCACTTAAAAAGATGAGAGGCCTGTAATTTTCATCATAGGTATACCTATGATGAAAATTACAGGCCTCCCTCATCTTTTTAAGTGGGAGAACTTGCACAATTGGTGGCTGACTAAATACTTTTTTTGCCCCACTGTATATGGTTCTCTTTCAAGCATACGTTTCGGTGTCTCTCTCTATGGAATACTCCCCTTCCGTGTATTCCTCAGAAGCCCCATTACATTACGCCAGCCCAAATTGGCTGGCAGACGTGATGTTGTGTCTGGGAGTGGCCTCCCCACCCCTCGGTATAAAGGGAGTAACACAACGTCACTACGACATTTCAAAAACCTCTTTTCACTTCACACCAGAAGCCTATAAATTAGATAAACCTTTAACGAATGACTGGCCACCACGCCATTTTTCGCCTGACTCCTTCAATTTGCATTCCAGCTGATTGCAAGGATTGTTCGATATTACGATGGCTGCAGCAATGCAGACTGTCCCGGCTAGTGAGGGAGATGCCGTGCGACTTTGTTCAAGCGGGAACAAAATTTCATGCAAGGACACGGACTAGATCTGCTCTGCATGTCTTGGGCTGAAACATGCCCAATTGGCGATCGAGAACTTCGGTTCCTGTGAACACTGCGCACGCTTCACTATGAAGAGCCTTTGTCACAAGCTAGCATGCCAAGCTAGCCTGTTAGGCCACAATCCCCTCATGTCACCTAGCCCCGGTCCAGCTGTCACTCCACAGGTACCCATCCCTGTAGAGCTGCCCACCACCGCAGCTTTATCCTGGGGTGAACAGCTTGACGTTTGCGTCCCAGTGTGCTCGGCACGGACGAGGAAGAGGACGCACTTGATTTCGAGGAAGAGGGACAATCAGGCTTTCTTCTCTCTGAAGAAGAGGAAGATTGAGGACTCCCCTTTCCTCCCCCTGCTGACCCAGCACAACCCCTTGCTGCGGTGGGATCCACGGAAAATGCGGACGGGGCACCATGCCCGCTTCTCAGTGTTGATCTGCAAGATGTGTGCAAACGCGCTGCAGAGAAACTAAACATTCCGTGGCCGACTGTGGCAGCAGAGACTGCAAAGTCTTGCTACGGGGGTAAGAGGCTGCCCAGAGTGAAACGGGCAGCACGGCAGCTCCTTCCTGTGTTTCCAGAGCTCCTGGAGGAGGTTGCGGTGACCTGGAAAGACAAACCATTCACCAGCAAGATGCCTGTGCAGGGAGGATCTACTCTCGATGTGGAGGGAATGGAGAAGGAAGGACTTCTCTGAATGCCCCCCATGGAGCCATTAGTTGCTCACTTGCACCCAAAGCACACGGCGGCTGCAAATCCGACGTTGCCATCCAAAGCTGACCATTTCCAGTCAAGCATGACGGAACACGCTTATAAAGCAGTTGCTTTCTCTGTCAGGGCTCTGAAAGCGACCTCTATGCTGACCGCGTACCAAGCAGAATTGCAGGACGAAGCGTCGACCATGCCAGGTCAGATGCACTGGAAAGAGATCGGTGTCATTTAAGGATCTTTCTCTGCGTCTTCAGAGATGCGCGGTACAAGCCACGGGCAAGGCCATGGCCACAATGGTCATTCAAGAGAGAGGACGTTAGATTAACTTGGCGATTCTCTCTGACCGGGAAAAAGAAGCCATCCTGGACGCACTGGTGGTCGCAGAGGCCATTTTTGGCTCAGCTCTGACACTGATGCGAGGAAAAGAAGAGGGATTATGAGGCTTTGCAGCACTGTATGCCTAGAAAGGCACAGACTGCACCTTCTCCGCCACCTCGGCAGAACTTCACACAAGTTATGGCCCGCCCACCCCCCAGCTAC